ATTTAGAAAAACACAACTTTGATACTTTTAGGGCTTTTGGGACACTCTGTACATTACAAAAATATTTTTAAAATGTGCACCCGATAGGCGTCTGTGGATTATCAAATAATACTTTCCAAAAAACAAACGGGCTACCCGCAAACATCCGTGCCGTATAGCGTGGATAACCCTGTATAATTTCGTATATACAGGGTCGGAGTTTAGGTAACACATTTTCAGGAATTGTTTCATCGACCTGTGGAGTGAACAAGCGACATTTTATGATACGATACGGGGGTTTAATTATAAAAAAATTTTGCTCCTTCGGATATCTTATGGAAGAAAGGCTTTTAAAAAACTTTTGATCAAATCCATTTTTTCAATAAATTTCGTTTAGTTGCAATATAAAATATGCAATTTTTCTCAGTCTCAATAAATTTTTCATCATAGTCGACGACCCAACATATCCCATACATGGTCGATTGGATAAAGGTCTGGGAACCCTGCAGGTCAATCCTGGCCAGTCCGTAGAAGTAAAATTAAATTGTTCACGTTGTTCTCCTCCGCGGTGAAATAATATTTCTCTTATGTATCCAATTTACATATAAGCGGCTTTTATCTATGAAAAGCAACTTGGTTCATATGCTCAATATCCCAATGCTGCCGAGCTGCCCGATGTTGTATTGCAACATAATGAAATATTCGAAACTTTGGTGTTTTTTCATCTATGGGCTTTTAATCCAGCTGTTTGAGCCTTCTTCTAATTGTGCGGCAACTTATTCGGGTCTGTCACTTTCTAATTGGGAATTTCATCTCTAGCTGTATTTACGCGCTGTGGTCTTTGACCTCCTCTCCGCACAAATTTTATTTGCCTCTCCAACCTCTTTCGCTTCGATAAATTACAGATTTGGTCTTTTTTCAAATACAAGCATGTTCACTGTAAAAACTTCCATTCTCTATCAACGCTGTAGCTTTTACAACATGAGTATGAGTCCTCAAGTCCTTCTTTCTTCGCCTTTTTTACTGTACAAATGAGATTATGCATGTTGATTTAGAGTTGATATATAAATAATATATGAGTTGGCAATAAATAAGCAAAGATCTATGAGACCAACGCTAGAGATGACTGGGAAATAATTTCCGAAATGCACAAAAACCGCTTTTCTGAGAAAATTCGAGACATTCGAAAAATGTTGAAACAGAAAGTCATATCATAAAATGTTGTAAAAGGTCACTCGCAAATTTCTGAAAAATCGTGTTTTTATTTCCGACCTTGTATGGATATACATATTAATTTATCGAGAACAGCAATAATTCTGACCATTCGTCAGGAACTAAGCTAGAGTTGGGCAAAAAGAAGATGCAAATCAGATATGGAGCGTACGAGAAATGTGACTTCCAACTTTTGTTGAATTATGCCTATTCGTCTATGTTTGCCGGTGTGTGTATGTTTAAATTTGCTATTTTATCAATCAAGTTGGAGATATTCGGAACTTTTTTCGACAATATTTACTTATTTTATCGTTATATGCTATAGTTTATTTCTAAATGTCTAAATATTCATTGAAAATTGACGTTGTTCTTTTGAGTCTGAAATAGGCAATGTTCAATAGATAAGCTTTTCATTGTTCAATAGATAATCTACTTTACACGTTCAAACTAGAAAAATTAATAGTTTTCTTTTTAGTAAAAATTCCTCATTAGTGGAAAATTGCACTGAAAAACTGACTAAATACGTAGGCTTTCGTCAAAAAATCGTCAAACTATGTTTGCAAAACCACAGTTAACTTCAATTATTCTGCAAGAAAGTTTCGCTTAGTACAACCGTACTGCTTTTCTGAAAATTGAGAAACCGCTTGAGATCTTATGTAAAACTAAATGCATGTCTATTAGCTAATTGAAATAGTTGTCGAGAAAAACCATTTTTAAGTATTTATACATGAATGTAAATACACGACTGGATCAGTTTCCAAAGCGAAAATTTCAGGGAACGATAGAAAATAGAAAATAATAGAAAGAAAAAAAAACAATTGTAATATACACAAAGTTTTCATTTTACACTATGATCGAAAAATGCTTCATTAAGGAAATATCGAGTTTTGCTAAATTGCTTTTAAAACACTAATACTATCATAGATGATTTTAAAGAAACAAATTATACGCGTCTGCTTTTTCATAGAATAAAAATTAGTTTGGGATTATCCGCTCAGTTTGAAAAAAAAATTCTATCAATTTCTCTGTACAACTCAGCGTTTTCTGGGGTTGTAGGATCGTCTGCCTGTCCAGCTTTTATGTGGGTTGGTTTTAGTAGTTCATTAACCTTCTTTCTCTGCGATCTTTTCTAGGCGTTTGGAGAACATTTTCCAGTGATCGTTTTTTATTTTTCTCATTAATTTTTTAGTTTTGTTCCTAACTTGCTTAAATTCATTATGTGATTCTGGCGTTCGCATAGTACAATATATTAGCTAGGCTTTTCTTTTTTCGTTGCACTTCTGGGCGGAACCATGGTGTCTTGTGGTTGATTGTTTGGTTGATTTTGATGGTTTGTTCTCCAAGTGCCTCCGTTGCTGACATCAGAAATAACTATTAACGAAGATGCCACGATCAATACATCCGACGTAGAAAACGCACTACACAAGCTAAGAAATAGAAAAAGCGCCGGGCAAGACACGGTATACACAATGAATTGCTCAAATACGGTGGACAAAGACTAGCAGAATTAACAACTTTCATACAGAAAATTGTATATCAACACAAAATCCCAGATGAATGGCGAACCAGCACTACTGTGCTAATTTTCAAAAAAGAGGACAAGAGAATACCATCAAATTATAGAGGAATAAACCTTTTAAGCACTGCTCTAAAACTAACAACTAAAGTAATTACGAACAAAATCAACAATCTTACATCGTTGGCGGAAGAACAGAAAGGATTCAGATCGGGAAGATCTTACACAGACGCTGTGTTCGTATTAAGACAAATAGTCGATAAATAGATTGAATACAACAAGCCAGCGTTTATGTTTATATTTTGTTGATCTAACTAGAGCATTTGACCGTGTCCAGCTGAAAGATGTTCTGCATCTCCTTTACAACAGGCAAATCCCATACAATCTCATTAAAACCATAGAGAACATACAAACAATAAAATACGAGCGCAAATAGAAGGAGACCTCACAGAACCAACACCAGCGGGAAGCGGCATTCGTCAGGGAGACTCCCTTAGTCCTACCCTGTTCAATTTAATAATGGAAGAAATTGTTCGAAGTGTTCGAGGGCTAAAGGGATACAAAATGGGGGATGCAGAAATCCAAATAATGTGTTATGCTGACCATGCCGCTCTCATTGCAGAAGGTGAAGATGACTTACAAAGGTTATTACACTTATTCAACCTGAAAGCCAAGTCTCTAAACATGGAAATATCACCGACCAAAACAAAGTGCTTAAAAACATCAAAAACCCCTCTAAGAAGCCAACTGGAACTTGACGGTAGAGTAATCGAGCAGAAAATAAAATTTAACTACCTTCGCGTGGAACTTTCCGGGTTTGGGGATACTGAGGCAGAGGTGAGATATCAAGCAACAAAAGCAATTAGAATAGCTGGCTGTCTGAATGCCATATGGTGCAATAGAAGAATGGGAACGGACTCTAAATCGAGGATATACAAAATCGTCGTGAGGCCGATGATGACATATACCGCAGAAACCAGGCCAGAAACAATGAAAACCAAAAGACTCCTAGAGACAGCTGAGATGAAAATACTCCGTAGAATCACCGGAAAGACACTGCTGGATAGAGCGAGAAGCAAGGATATCAGAACAGCCTGTAATGTCAAGAACATCAATGAATGGGTAGCAAACAGGAAGAAGGAATGGAATGAGCACATAAGCAGGATGGACCACCACAGACTTGTGAGAATCGCTCGTGAAGTCCACATTGGGACGAAGAGGCGTTGCGCCCCAGGAAACGATGGAGCGACAGCCTCACGCAAGTAAACGCTAATTGAACAAGAGATTCGCCTAAAATCAAGAATGAAGGAGAAGAAGAACCCAGCGTTTTCAAGTAAAACATACCTAATACTCATTTAATAAAACATCAATCTGTGATATTCCTCATCAACGTAAAGTGTAGAAATTGCTCCAAATGTGATATACCATATTAGATATTTTTTGTACGTCAACCAATAATTGTTAAAAATTCGGAATGAAAAGGAAAAAACAGTTACAATCCGCCAAGGCAACTGAACTTGCTCAAATTTCATATCAGAAAAAAGTGCTCAGAAACACAATTGGAAAAGTACGTCGTGATGATAACAATTTATCTGTCAAATTAATTCATAAATGTGGTAGGTACATTTGATTAGCATTAATTGCTGTTGTTAGTGACATTATTACTTAAAATGCATTTGGATAAAGAGGAATATGCAAATATTCATTTTTGTTACAAATTTTGCAATCGAAATGTGGAAGCGGTTGTAGGTAAATATCAATGACTTTCACATACTCGTGTCTTCATTATAACACATCAACATGTTCGTCACATTGACTTGCGTGTTGAAATCGCTGTAAAAATATATTGAAGTGGGTGGACTACATTTTGAACAATTTCCATAATTTTCGTGGGTATGATACACCATCGATTAAATTCGCAAGTTTCGCAAATGCTAAGCAGTACAGCAAAATATCTTTATTATTATATTTTTATTTTTCAAACTCAATATAGAATGGAAAAGTTATTTTTATTTAATGAAAAAGTAGCGGCGTACCATTTTTTTCCTTAAAAACATATCTAATCGTGTTTATGGAAGTCGCTGACAAAACAAAAAATATAGTTTCTATTGCAAAATGGTGCTATTGCAATCTCTCGTTGGCAGTAATCACCTGAAAAAAATCGCTGAAATATCCACAGCCGCTTGGTAACAATTAATAAATTTGATTTTTTAAAGGCAACCTTAAACACCCTGTATTTCCTTAAAAACCCTGTACTCGGATAAAGTTCATAATGTTTTTCGAGTCTCTATCGGTCCCTGAAGTTTCGGGTCTGGAAGTTGGACCACCTTGTAAATTTAACTGCAACAGGCGATAATCAACACAAAAACATCCAATAATTCATCAAAGAAATTCGAATTTGCGCTTTGTCAACTAAGACAAAAACTGTGTTAAAGAAGAAAAAGGAGGAGTTTTAGTTTAGAGAATTCGAGAACTTAGAATTATAACTTTCTCTCAATAACTCGGGAGCGGTTGTTAAACCGAACGACAAAATATGGAGGCACAACTATCTTGAAAGTTAACGCGTATATTCAACACCCTGAAACGTTGGTATATACAGGGTTATTCAGATTATACGACACGGAAGATTGCGGGTAAACTATTACTAATTTTTAAAAAGTATTATTTTATGGATCAATGAGTTGGGGTACATTTTTAAATTATTTGCTAATGTACAGGGTCTCCCAATTACTAAATTCAACCCAAAGTTCCATTTTTTTAATGGAGTGCTCTTACATTATTATGTTATTAGTGTCTGTCGAAATAAATGTTTTATTTTATTAACTGAGTTTTATTAGGGTTTATCATACTTAAAGCTTGCGGATTCTGAGATATTTGGAATTTTGTGAACACCCATTTTGCATTTCGAAATCAAATTTTACCTTGCTGCTAGTATTAGATACTGGTTCATGTCAAATTAATAAAAATTCGACTACGTCGTACAAGATGTCCCAAAATTGTTTTGAAACAATTGCACGTTTTTAACGGTAAAAACTTGTTTAATTTAAATGGATCACTCTGTATTTTATGACAAGTATGTAGTGACTCCCTGTGAAAAAGTATTCGTGCAAAAGTAGAAAATTTAGAACTACTTATATCATAATAGGAATTTTATGTAAAAAATGGACTGAACCTTGATGTTATGAAGCGTTTTTTTTTTGTAGGTATCCGAAAGAGATGTCCTAAACCCCTGACATCACGTTCTGTGCGAAAAAAACGGAGGTGTGGTGATGGGTGACCCAGCAGAACTGGAGCCGACGTCCGAATGCGAGTTGCACAAGAAGCCAATTTTGGAAAATGGACACGTTTGCCAGATCGCAATGCCAGACGAGGATTGCGAGATCCACGACGTTGCGAACGGTGCAACGGTTGGTATCAATATGTGCGACGATGTAAACATGGAAAGCTGAGAGTTAGTGTTGGAAGATATCATCGCAATGAGTGATACAGAATAAAAATAATCCTAGAATTAATGCAGAACTAACTTTAGAAGGTAGTTTTCCATTGTGACTCAACAAGGACTTTTCTGCGCGGAACTGATCTAAAGCTCAATATTAGAGCTTTAAATCCTGCATTTGTAAGGGGATATTTATGTGTCGTATTGCCATGTGATATATTGGCTGTATTTTGAAATACTTTCAATCAATATGAATAGCTCATTAACATCATACATAACTTAACATCATTTTGCAGACCAAAAAACCAACTGACCGCTACTACACAATGGGCTCTTTACTGAACCAAGGCTGTTGTTGCTCATAGAAGCGCTTCTGTGTGTTAGTTTTTGCAAATTAGATTGAGCAAAAAACCAGGTATAAATTATGAGATGGTCGACAAATCTATTAATCATTTAAATTTATCATTTAGTATTAGCAACACAATTATTTTGATTTAGTAAAATTAGTGCGCTTTCTTTAATTTTACGTTTTTTTGTGGATTGTTCTTTTGTTAAAAATTTTCAACATTTTTACAAATTTCTTGTTGGGTATTTTGCCTCAAAAATTTTTGTCTTTAAAAAAGACAGAATTTCCTAACGTCTTCTATTACAGATTGATAAATAGTGCTCCTATTTCGCAATAAGAACGAATTATTTATCAAAAAGTAATCAAGAACTATCACCTAGAGGGT